ATGTTATTGTAAGCTGAAAAAGTAGGTTTTTTGAGTGCATGTTAAAAACAGTAATTTAGGCTACAATTCACATATTTGTGATCATTTATCATGATCAAATGACGCTATAATTTAGAAGAGGGTAACTACTCGTGCTTCTTTGAAGTCTGTATGTTGATCGGTACCGAATCATTGAGAAGATAACATGTGGATATTAATCAACATATATCTGAGTGTAGTGATGTTTACACACATGATATAGATTCCAGACGTTGCTGATTTCAATTTATTTAGCCAATATTGAAACTTCGGTTTCTTTGTTCCATTGAAACTGAAGTGTTGATGAAAATATCAGGTGAGTTTTGGTAGCTTTTATGTTTAGTTAATTATTCGATATAATTAGGGATTGTAAATAATTCTGGTTTTTTTAAAAGATTTATGATCCATCGAATGAATGCAGTAATTACTAACTTTGTTCAATCTCAATTAATTTACTTTCGATTACTAGCACACATGACATAGACATCACTCACACCGCTAAATTGGAGTTCTATGAAAACTAGAAAGTGACCGGATGTGTATCTTCTCTACTTTACACTTCACCATAAATCCATAACACACTAAATACCATTTAGTTATCTTTTGGACAATACGGGTTCTCTTTATCAGTAGGAGTTGAGTTTCCCGTGACTAGAGTCAATTCGATTGACGAGCACTACACACTATGGTTTATGAGGAGAAAAATGAAACTGTTCACGGGTTGTTCAAAATTCACGAATGAACAAACTGGGACATTACATTGGGGGATGTATTGAACGGTATTTTAGAGCATTGTTGTGCATCATCGAAATGCCACAGAATCCACTTCGACCTATCACTTTGAGACTCACATATCGGCTCACCTGCTATTGTGAAGTAGGATGGATAAACTGGTTATTGAGGACATTTCCTGACTCACCAATAATTGAATAACAAGGCACAGTTGGCAAATCTATCTATTCCGTGGTATGTAGTTGACCATTACCACGTACTATAAAACATATAACTTTAAATGTATGTATATATTTACATAAGTCAGTATCAAATGGATGCTTTTTACTCATGTCCTCTCTTCTCATCTTCACTTTACATACAATCTCACTCATCTCTGCTCATTACGTCGGAATATATTCTATTGAAATTCATTGGTCTCATGGAATTCACCACTTCTAATGCGATTAAATGATCAAACTCAATTGGTTTCTATCGTTATTGTCAATGGCCTTCATTGAACTACTTGAATGTACCATGATGTTTCCTTCTATAGTAGTGTTGTGTCATTGACTCTTATTTCTCCAGCCTTTATTTCAGAACTTTCACTGGTTAAACATTTACGTCGATTCCCATTCATTTCATTCAATGAAATACTTTTTGTAATCCACTACTGAAACAAGTGTTAATGACCCATTGTTTTACTGATATCCACGTCGTGCTCACCGTTCTTAACGGTTTCTTCGTGTGTAACTCTGAATATGAACTATTCTTCTCACTTAGTTACTCGTTTAATGATGAATGTCCTCAACGAAGAAACTCCGAAATTCGCTTTGAGTATTTGAAAACACGTTTCTACTGTTTGAATACATTTATTACTGAAATCATTTTATCAATTATTCATCTATGTACTCTGGTGTTTTCCATATAAGATAACAAAGATTTTTCATTTTAAAGTGAAATGAAGTATTAACTTCTTGTGTATATGAACTGGCAAAGGAACCATCCACTACCGTAACATGCCATGACCTACCATATGCTTTATCTAGAAATTCTTTAAGCTTTGTAGCAATCGATATTTTATTGTTGCATTCATATTCTTGATATAATTTTCTAGCTTCATTGCTGACATTGATTTGTTGTGGTAACATCATATCGCCAGAAATGTATTCAATGTCTGAGCCAAGTTTAAACAATGCTGAATGTTGTTGAATTGTATTTCTTCGCATTTTTTCACTATAAAAAAATACATATTACAATTATGGTTTGTATGGATTAAGAGAAGAATACTGATTTATCAACACTGGTCGCTGTCCACTTAGGCAGCGTTAGTCGAGACAATGAAATCAGAATGAACATATGCATTAATGGTTAACGCGTAAAACAGGGTAGACGACTACTCAAAGTCTATCAGGACATTGTATAAATTAACACATCAAATTGATCAATATATTGAGGAACAACAAATTCACATTTAGCTGAATTCTTAACGACTAGTTACCTGGACTCACAATTGTTTAATAACCTAATAAGCACTTTCGATACGTATTTCAATTCGGATTAACGATCTGTCCAAATGATTTGTAATGCTCTCACGACTGAATTCTCGTCTTATCTGTTTTGTCGTTGTGCCAGTTCCTACATCTCATTCTTCAACAAATCCGAATTGTTAATTCGTGGCATACTTATCGCAGAGTGACTTGAGCATCGAGCACTAGAAGCATTCTAAAATAATCGAAAACATTATTGATGCATCTGAACTAAGTAGATGCATTATATTTTACACATCCATCATTTCAACTTTGTTTAAACTATCAGGATAATAGTATGTTTTGTGAGTGGGTAACAGAGGAGTCCACGACTTGCCTTCATCCTATTTTTGTGTCATCAATTGAATGCAACACGATGCTAGTTTCGATACTCTCACTGAGCCCCCAATACAATGCCCTACCCTCCAAGTGTCGAACACATTATCCATTGAGCTGTAATCAATGTGAACTAGTTGTGCTTCATATGGTGTTCATAAGTGTGATATTTCTCAGTGTCCTGGTATAACACTAAAGAAAAAACAGTCATGTGATTACAATCTGAAATGTACTCTTGAAAAAACTATCGATGAAATGTATCTGGTACACTGACGATATCACCACATTGTTTTTTCACTCTAACGTATTCAATCAATACACATTAACTATGAAACTGTTAAAACTGAAAGTGCATACATTTAACAAAACTTACTATTCCTCTTTTGCAACACCTAGAACACTTAAAAACTTATTAAGTGTAATTTGGTTTGTTTCCTCTTCCGAAAATAGCTCAAACCATCTCTAAGTGGATAAAAGAAAGAGAATGTAAATTTATTTCCAAATAATCTATTCAACTACATGAAGATCAATTAATTAAAATAGACATGCTTAAATTGTGAAAATGTGGCTGAGTGAAACGGATATTTATTTAAGATTGAATTGAATCTTCAATTGTTTAGAATATGAAAAGATGAGAAACCTGATTAATCGCATGCACAATTCCGACTTTTAATTTATGTTAATTTTTCTTCCATCATACATGTTCAGAACCTGAAATATAATGCAGCTACTTAGTTCAGATGCATCAATAATGTTTTCGATTATTTTAGAATGCTTCTAGTGTTCAGAACCTGAGTGCTTTTTCATTAATTTACTCTGAACGTGATGCATATTTGTGAACGACTTTTCTAGGCTAGCTCTTTGATTCGTTTGAAGTAATTGAATCGACCTTAGGTTGTTAGCAGTTTCACGCATGCGTTCGCTTAGCCATACTGAAATCTGCATATGAAAATAGTGTGAATTTTGAGATCACCGCTGAATGTGAAGTTTCTCGGAGAAGATGTAGAATTCAAACTATTATTACTAGTAAGTGATAAGTGTAATTCAACTCTCATTCTCAGTATCACTTTCGGACGTTTGCAGATAATATGCAGTAGTTCACCTTCTTCAAACGATCCTTGAAATACCCTTCGAAGCTCCAAACATGACGGTATACTGTCTTTGATAAGAACACATAATTGAACTGTCGGCCTATAGTAGTTCAGATAATTTGATGGAGTCTAGACTGAAGTAAGTGAAATCGATTCCTAATCTGTTAGGCAATGATTTTAAGGTTGATTGTGTTAACCGTCAGGATACTGATACATATGACATCAATCGAAATATTACAAACACTAGACATCTTAATAAACATTATCATCACACATGCACATCTATTTAAATTAGTACATGTTGATAATCAAAACTTACTTGAACCATTTGATTACCCAGATGATTATCTTTGGCGAATTTCTCTAATTCTTCCTTAGTGATAATCTCATCATAGTTTGTATCGATTTTTGAAAATACACTAGTAAAAGTTTCCATTTGTCACCACTGCTTTTTTTAAAATTATTCACTTTTATTCTGTGCTATCTTTTACAAGACAATTTACATAAAGTGATTAAACGATGGTGATCTGATTAGAACCAACAGTAATGCCTGGAAATTATATATATATATATATATATATATATATATATATATATATATATATATATATATATATATATATAGGGTCATTTAAGGTTACTGTATTTGCAGCATAATCATAAGACCAGTCAGAAGTATTATATTAGTACTAATTATCTAATTTTATTTATGTTGTTTTAATTTAGGATTGTTCAGGGTTATTTCCGGACCCGTGGTTTATACTACATACTGGTCACTAATAACCAGAAATCCTGGAAGTTTTCTACTGTAGGTGAGACATCCTGGTTTTCAATGATTACCTAACTAAAGCTGATCCATAATGGAAATTATTAATGTTATGTTTGTCTCTTAAAAGTAGTACAGAAAGACTGCGAACACTTCAAGATGTTGTGATTACAGTTATATTTACGTGCAGTCAGTCACTCCCTTGTATATATTTCGGAATAATTTGAATTAAAAATTTAATTGGACATATGACTGTTCTATATCGTAGTTTTTTTCCATCATGACTGACGGCGCTATATTTGACACCTCCATAAAAAGCTAGAGTGCTATTTCCGTCTTAGAAAACAACATATTTTATGTAGACCAGAAAAAACAACAGAGCATGAAACACGTTCTCCATGATGGACTACGAAAGCGTAGTTAATAAATTCCATTTCATTTTCATCGTTTGCTATCAGTAAAGTCAAGTTTGCTAAAGAGAAAAGAGTTGATCTGCGGTCAAATAAACTAGGAACATTTTGATGAAACTTCCAATTCATAATACATAACATGTTAAGTTCTCAGGTGTTTTGAACCTAATTGTGTTAACCTTGGACAAAATAAACCCTTAACACATTATCGCATGTCTCAAACGAAAATTCATGCATGTGTAGAATGTGATGGTTTAATTATCTTATGTAATTATTTGTATTTTTCTTTCCTTCGTAAATTTTAATCAAACAGAGATGGCAAGCATTATTTGATCCAACAAATACTGGTATTATAACATTTCAAAAATTTTGTGATGTCCTCGGTGTAAAACCGGAACAAGCGTGAGTCTAGTCATTTTGGATTTTCTTACGTCTAGTTTTAACAAGAACTTACTTGAAAGGATGCCGTTTAAAGTATATTAAACTAACTATGTGAAATGTTTGATTCTGTGTGTAGTACATTTAGTAGTGAGAATATTTCTCTTCTTTTTATTAAGTCCAGATGAAATTTGTGAACAATACATGTAACATGACATAAAATGCAAGTCCATAAACATGTTCAACAAATTACAAAATTAACTAGAGCTAATCACCGCCACTTGACTGATTAGAAGTGAAAGCAGCCTAAACTAAAAGCCGGGAAACTGTGAGCCACCTCAATAAAATGTGAGAAATTGGTGTTATAGAGCAACTAGTATTAATGTATAAACCACGATGTGTTTTTTTCACCATGAAAGCTTCTTCGCTCCTAGCATTGTGTCAACTTATCCCTCTTGTTCATTCAGCTGCTTTCCCGACTAACATTGAGTTGTATTAGAAGTCATCCAAACAGGAAAACAAAGCTTCAATTTACCATATGCATTTATCGACAGGATTTTCATGTGAAGGATAATCTAAAGTGAACTACGAATATATTACTGAGCTAAGCATCAAATGGGAACCTGTTGCCCAATAACTCGTAAACCCACGTCATATTCGACCTTGGAAAGTGGATCTTCATATACTAGTAGAGTTGGTTCAGGATTCGTTCTCTCAAACAATAAAATACTGTCTGTCAAACAAGTAGAAATTGTAATTCATCATTTTATCATTTTTTTCCAGACGTACTCTTCGGAAGAGTGTTGTCAATAACCGACCACTGCCGAAAGATTTGCAAATAATCTCCCAAAATATGTCACCAGAAGATCAATTCCAAATATTTGAATTTGTTCGGTCACAGTTAGATAAGAATTTATCAGGTCAAGATATGACACAAATGATAAAACAATGGCTTGATAAGACATTCGACCCTTCATGGCATGTTGTTATAGTCGATGGTTCATATTGGATATCGTATTCACATTTACCTGAACAATCTCTACAATTTCGATTGAAAGAAAAGTGTTATTTAGTTTGGCGCACACCTAAATATTGACATTGAATCAACAAAATTATGATAATTGCAGTTACGTAACGAGTGTTTATTCATTATTGAATTTTGTTTACCCATATTGTTGTTTCACCAACTGCATATATACACATCTATATATCGACCCAAATGTCAAACTATCGTTTACTTTATTTAGTGTTCACCAAACTATTTTATTTTAAATCCTTCACAGTTTAATCACATCATAACGCACACATTACCGTATACAATTTATTTATTTTGTTGAATTGTCATATTGATATGTATGTGAGATTGAAACTTTAACATATGACTTTGTGTCATGCTTAGAAATATAACGTACGAAATTTACTTCAACATACCTCTTTTACTGTTAGTTATTTCTTTTCAAGCTGAACTAACGATCATGTAATGTTTATAGTTTTTACTTGATTGGAAGTATTCTGAATGAAACTTCATTCATTCAACATAACATTGGTCGGTACATATTCAAATGGTTCAAATGGTTGTGGACGGATTAGAAGAAGCTTTCGCTTAACTGGCTTCCGTGTCAAGTAGCAGGGGATCACCAAATCCTCCAGGCAGGAACCTAGGTATGTTAACAAGAAAACAGGAAAAGAAATTGATAAATCATAGTGCGATCCTATCCTTAGTCATTAAGAATAGATCAAGTTGCCCCTCAAAGAACTCCTGGGAAGTCGCTTGGACTAGCTCGGATGGCAGCGAATTCCAGCATTTAACAACTCTGAAGGAGTAGAAGTTGTGTCTACATTCCGTTCTGCTATGTTGTGTCTCCAGTTTTTGGGTGTTTTCCCTTAGGTTAGTGTTGGAACTAAGCTTAAGTAGGTGTTTGAGAGGATGTCCAGAAGTGTTAAGGATACTATAGACCATCAGAAGGTCACCTCTAAGACATCTATAACCTAATGGGCAAAGGTTAAGTGAATGGAGGCGCTCTTCATAAGGTTTGAATTTGAGTCGTCGAACTGATTTCGTAGCTCGCCGTTGAATACGCATAATTAATTTTCGATGATATATATCTATGTATATGATTGTAACAGGAACAAAATAGTAGAATAGTGATAGTAATGAACTAGTATGGATCTGCTATCGATTAAACGTTCTTTGGAAGTCGTGTAAGCTATGCGATTAGAACCTCAGTAATGCAATCCATATAGAGATTTATTGTTTTGGAGAAAAGAGTGGTGGTATAACTTGATTGTATAATCTAATAGCAAAAGTGATGCATTTTAAAACTACTTGGTGCTCTATCATGATGGATTAAACTGCAAAATCGTGCATAGAGGACAACTGACAGACTCGCTCGAGGTAATGACCTGTGTCAGGCAAGGTTGCTTACTCTCACACTTCTTCTTTCTTCTGGTGATCGACTGGATCATGAACACGTCAACATCTGAGGGCAAGCATGGGATACATTGAACAGTTAGGGTGCAACTGGTCGATCTAGACGTCTCAGATGATCTCCAGCTCTTATCGCACACGCAAAAACAAATTCAGGAGAAGACGACCAGTGTAGCGGCAGTAGGTCTCAACATACACAAAAACAAAAGCTAGATTCTCCGATACAACACAGAATGCAAGAATCGAATCACAATCAACGGAGAAGATTTGGAAGATGTAAGATCCTTTACGTAGCTGGCCAGCATCATTGATGAACACGCTGGATCTGATGCAGATATGAACGCACGAATCGGCGATGCAAGAGCAGCATATTTACAACTGAAGTACGTCTGGAACTAAAATTAAATGTTAACCAAAACCAAGGTCAGAATTTTCAATACAAATGTCAAAACAGTTCTACTGTATGGGGTGGAAACCTGGAGAACTACGAAAGCCATCATCCAGTAGATACACGTGTTTATTAACAGTTGTCTACGCAAAATACTTCGAATCCGTTGACCAGACACTATCAGCAACAACCGACTGTAAGAGAGAAGAAACTAGATCCCAGAGGAGGAAGAAATCAGGAAGAAGTGTTGGAAGTGGATAGGACACACATTGAGGAAAGCACCCAAATGCGTCACAAGGCAAGCCCTCACATGGAATCTTTAAGGCCAAAGGAGAAGCGGAAGATCAAAGAACACATTACGCCGAGAAATGGAAACAGACATGTTGGAAATGAAAAAAATTGGACAGAACTCCAAAAGAAGGCCTATGATAGAGTGGGTTGGAGAATGCTGAATGGAGGCTTATGCTCGATTGGGAGTAACAGGCGTAAGTAAGTAAGAACGTAAGTGGTGCTCTATCGATTCTTCATTGCACAAATCTTCCGAAGACGATTTGTTACACAAACTCCACCGACCACTCAATTACGTGCGAGTTCATCCTGTCATTTACAGATTGAATTCTGTCGTAATTAGTCTCAATAATTACCAGACTGAACAATTCCTATAGAACACAAGAACTTCGAGAATTTGTACATCATAAGTAAGTGAGATAGTAAGAATCCTGAAATAGAATGGCACTGTAACAAAACAAGACGAGGTTTGGTCGGTTACACTGAATGAATATAATGCTGAAGTTTTGTTGGTGTGCCCAAAAAGCAATGAGTACATGATTGTCAGCTAGTAATTAACAAACTCAAACACAGACGTATTTATTGGGACTATCAATAATGGAAGAAATAAACAGACATCAAATCTTGCTTTTTCTGTGGTAAACACTACAGTAATGTTTCTGTTACATCAAGACACGTCCAACCGATATGTATATCCAGTACACAATTAGCAAATTTCTACATAGGCTAGTATTTGGAAGATTAAATTAAAACCACGTAATCGGAAAACAGTGTTTGCATAATGTCCCCTGTAGATAACATATCATGCACTTAGCATGTGCTAAGAATAAAACATCAGTTGCTAGACAATCTAAATACAGAAAGGTGTAAATGAAAATTAAAAACGGTCATCCTAATAAAATTATTTGTGAAACATATCCATACTACCGAATATCATGAACAGCATCGAAATGCTAGAAAGTAAACAAAAGTCACGCAAGCACTTAGTCATTGTGTACTTTCACTGCTTTTGAGAACATTATGATTCCTTTCTTCGCTAGTCATTGTTATCTGACTGCACATTTTCGCGAAAGTTTACTCCCGATAAAGTACACATTTTCCTATCTTTAACAATTGAGTGCAAATAAAATTCAAATATATCAACACTGCATTCTGTGTATTGAAGCAATTGTTGAAGGTACTTTCAAAAAGATTGTCATGTTGTTAGGGATTTCTACAATCTAGATGATGTAGTTTAACAGACATAATTGTAATCTGGATAGGGCGTGGATGGAGATTCTTTTCACTCTCCAAAAATTCACCAATCACTTCACATAAATACATTCATCTGTATCTAGATTTTATCTACATCAGATGATTAGTCAGGAAGTATCTTAAATTACTGAGATAGCATTAAAACTGAAGTAGAATGGCACTGCAATAACACAAGACGAAGTTTGGTCGGTTACACTGAATGAATATCATACTGAATTAATGCGAACGAATGTTTCACTGACTAAACATCACATTGGATGCAATGATTATCTCACGTTAAAACGTGAGTTTTAACAGTTTTGTGGTGTTTAAAATAAAATCAACCAACAACAATAAGTGAGAAAATTATGTATTGGAGGAAATGCAAACACAGTGTATTGTTTTACTCAGATATTCTTTGATCCCATGCTAAAATAATAATCTTTGGTCACTGATTGGAAGTATTCATATAGGATTCAGTCAGTCATCTTCACTGATTACAAGAACAATACGTACTAGTTAAGAAAGCGTATTTGTCAAGAGAATATAACTTATCGAAATTGTGTAATTATGCTAATCAGAATGACCCAAACTTCATAAATATTGATGCATACGTCATTCGTGTGAGCTATTCACTCATTGATCATACTTTAAACATTCTTGCATCTTTACCTACTATAAACCTTTGGGTTGCAAAATTTCTTTTGAATTATTTGGTGTTTTGAGAATGATATTTTACTGGCTAGTTCATTCGTTGTCTCTTCTTTGAACTATTGTCGACGTTACCAACACAACCGAATGATTGTTTAAACCACCTCCACCATTTTTAATGGCTCGGGGAGTGGTCCCCTAAGAAAACTACCTGCTCCGGCCAGGGCACCCTGGCAGTATCACAACCCTCGCACAAATCGAATGATTTACGTGGCGCCTCCTAGTACCAATGATTATGTGTTTGAATAATAATAATAATAATAATAATAATAATAATAATAATAATATTTAATGGTCGTAATCTTGACAGTGAACAACGGGTCACTCTAGAATGAGTGATCAATTCAGAGTGAAACTCATCAAATGCTTCAATATTAATATGTCAATCTGTGGAATCCCAAACACGATCTCAGCACATATCACTCAGAATGTCAGAATGTTATACAACGAAATTTCCAACTTCGACAGACATTACTGCTTTAACGAACACTGGTTACTAAAAATATTTGAATTTGACAGTTACAAACAGAAAGTAGACTGCATTAAAATCAATTGTTTTGACATTTTTGATATGATATGATAAATCGGTGTGAACATCTCACCACTACAAGAGATCTTCGTAAACGTATGAGCAAATCAGTTCGTAGTTATAACATATATCTGTACGTATAGCTTGTTGAGATAACTGAGTGTTTTTTAAGACAGCGAGTCGACATGAGTTAGATAACCATTGCTGAGTTATACTATCGTTATCCATGAAGAATGGGATTTCAAGACAATAAATTGAACAATAATCAATGGATTGATCAATGAGTGAGTGGTTTATATATAGACGGTGAATTGATGTATTGAGCGTGTTAACACCCATGGTTTTGATACCAGTGTAAAATTTTCGATACAACAAGAATAATGTAGTGATGCGCATTCGAATATCATATGAAGAACCCATCCACTCAAGAGTTCACGTGTGATTTGTCGATAAGTGTGAACTGATATCGGAACTAGATCAATCGTTTCCTGTCGACTAACTTAAACCACCTGACAACTCAACATGGTAAGCGTGATCTTCAGTCAATTAAACCAGTAACCACATTACAACTTGAGTGACAGAACTGTAAATGTCCTAAATGGTGAGAAAAATATGACATTGTTCACAAATCTGTGACCAATCATTTGTACAAGTCGAAACACCGTAGAACTTTGATGACTCTTACAATGTATCTCG